GAACTTCCTGTTCCCGCCCCCTCTATCCTACTCGGAACTTCCTGTTCCCGCCCCCTCTATCCTACTCCAGATTTCCTGTTCTCGCTTCTTTACTCTACTCCAGACTTACAGACCTACACTACCCAACCAAAGCACACTTCCTGTTCCCGCCCCAGGTTTACATTTTTGTCGAGGTATCTGCTCAGTCTGTCCAGGGCCTCCGACTCTCCGCCCCGCCACACGGCTGTTGGTAGCCCCTCCGTCCTGAAACCTGCACAAACACACCAATCACATGAAAATGTCTATTAAAGTTAAATGTAATGAAAAAAACGACAGCTTATTTCAGTTGTTTCGGAGATGAGATGTTCTACAGGAAACAAGAACAGACACTTCTTGTTTTAAAATCCAAATGTATTTGTCATTTCTGCCCTGAGCGATTTGCTATGTAAGCTTCGGTTAACAATGACTAAATTAGTTCAGAAATATTTGAATAATTGCAAACTGAACTGATCAGGATCTTAAGTTATTTACAAAAAATTACAGAAATTATGCAAAAATAAACAGAGAAAAATCCATTGTTCTGTTACATAAAGTACATTTTTCTAAATCACTCAAAATTACTATAAAAAAAACAGTGATTCTGTCAAACTGTGAGGTCTTTCTGGGAACTAATAACAAGAGACACAGGAATCCTTCTGGAATGAGTTGGTTCCATCACTGCTGAGGACCTTCTGATGGCAGACTGTAGATCTATAGACAGCAGATAGGACTCACCAAGCTCCACCAGAGAAGGGATGCTGTAGAGCTGGTCGTGGTTGTCAGATATGTTACTGAGACATCGGTTCATCTGCTGCTGGCTGATGGGAGCCAGAGGTCTCCTGGGCAACTCCAGCCTGCTCACTATGGTCTGAAATCGCTTAAAGGTCAGAGGAGGGTTGTTGTTGTTCATCTCGATGATCCTGCAGCCATGGAAACAACAGAGGAGGATAATCAAAGCTGCTGCTGCTGCTGCAGCACATCCCCTTCATATTGATACGGACAGAATACCAGCTGCCAACAGGAACCAACCTGCAGACAGAAATCTGAGCCCGTTTCCATTTCAGGCTCCAAGGTTTACCTGCTGAGACACACCTGAGTTACCCTGAAGGCTGATGGACCAGTGTCTACTGATAATGACGACATCAGGTGGACGTCAGCCAATCAGAAGAACCATTACAAACAGATCAGATTATTAGAATAATAGTAAACTGATTCACTAATCAATTATAGACTCTGAAACACAGCATAAAAGAACATCTATCCGGTATAGATCTGGGTCATGCCAGAATTTAAGAGACAATTTAGGATCCACTTTTTAAAAAGATGGCTGTTAATCTTGTGTTTTGTTCTGTTTTAAAAAGCTGGAAACTTTTGGTTAATATTTTCCAATTAGAGGAGAGGCCAGTGCGGTCAGAAAATTTTGATTTCTCTTGTTTCATATCTTTAGTTCCGCTACTTATCCAGCGAAAAATGTTTTTACTCTTTTTCACTTGCAAGGCCACAAAATGTCTGAGTGAGAAGTGTTTTGCATACAAGGAATACTTATTCCATAACAAGCCAAATTCTTTCCCAGTAATTGTTATTGTT